GGGCAAACCACAGTCCCCAAAATTAGAGACAGGCAGATACCCAGTACTCACCAGAGCACAAGCCTCTGTGATAAACAGTGTCAGGACAGAAATACCTGAACTGCAATTGATAAATTGCTAGGGGCTAGGTGTGCACATGCCTGAAGTTAAAAAGTCCAGGGGAACCCAGTCATGGTGGGAACGGGGGGAGATGAGGTCCCAAGGTTTGCTGAGATTTACTTTCAGGAGCTCAACCAGGTTCCCGGAGCCTAATATACTGGGGTTTTGTCACAGCCTAACTAACCTGAGGGAAGAAAGATATACCAAATCCACCCTCGCCTATCCAAACTGTGCCATCTAAGGGATGCAGTGGAGGTGGCCTGGGAAATACTTGTGAGGTTCAGGCTCCAGGGGAAAAGTTCACAAAAAGACAGACCTACTCATAGGCCTACAGAATGCTTACCCTTTCCTGACGTCTTACCACCACATTAGTAAAGTACTAGGAAAAGTAATTCTTTTTACTCCGTACATCACGTCCAGCTATCAACGAAAAGGGACAAGGAAATACTAAAAGGCAAAAAAACACAGACAGGGCAAGCATCAGAACCAGACATGACAGGGATGTTGGGGTGTCAGACAAAACTTAAAACCACCATGATTGATATGCTCTGGGCTCTAGTGAATCAAGTAGACAGCATGCAAGAATAGATAGGCAGGCCGGGCGCAGTGGCTCACGCCTGTAATCCCAACACTTTGGGAGGCTGAGGTGGGCAGATCACAAAAAAAATCCATCACAACAGAATTCTATACCCTGCAAATTTATCCTTCAAAAGTAAAGAAAGACATTCTCAAACAAAAACTAAGAGAATTTATTGCTATTGCAAGTAAACCTGCCTTGGCTAGGCAGAAAAGGAAAATACAGGTCAGAATCACAGATATACTTTTTTTTTTTTTTTTTAGACAGGGTCTTGCTCTGTCGCCCAGGCTGGAGTACAGTGGCACAATCTTGGCTCACTGAGACCTCTGCCTCCCACGTTCAAGCGATTCTCATACCTCAGCCTCCCAAGTAGTTAGGACTACAGGCGTGCAGCACCACACCTGGCTAATTTTTGTATATGTAGTAGAGACGGGTTTCGCCATGTTGGCCAGGATGGTCTTTTCCTGACATCAAGTGATCCACCCGCCTCAACCTCCCAAAGTCCTGGGATTACAGGCATGACCCACCATGTCAGGCCACAGATATATATTTACAAAATTGAGAACATCAAAGAAAGAATAAGTGAAAGTAAGATCAAAACTTTTTTCTTATCTTTTTTTCTTGAGACAGTCTCATTCTGTTGCCCAAGCTGGCGCACACTGGCACAGCAGCCTCAAACTCTTAGGCTCAAGTGATTCTCCCACCGCAGCCTCCCAAGTAGCTGGGGCTACAGGTGCACACTACCATACCTAGCTTTTTTGTTTGTTTGTTTGTTTTTTGTAGAGGCAAGGTCTCTATGTTGCCCAGGCTGGTCTCAAACTCCTGGCTGCTGGTGAGCCTACTGCCCTCAGTCTCCCAAAGTGCAGGGATTAAAGGCATCACCCACCATGCCCAGATAATTTTCTTATTCCTAGTTGACCTAGTCTGTTCAAAATAATAATAGTGGCTGGGCATGGTGGCTCACCCCTGTAATCTCAGCACTTTGGGAGGCCAAGGCAGGCAGATTACCTGAGGTCAGGAGTTTGAGACCAGCTGGCCAACATAGTGAAACCCTGTCTCTACTAAAAATACAAAAATTAGCCAGGATTGGTGGCGCACACCTATAGTCCCAGCTACTCAGGAGGCTGAGGCAGGAGAATCGCTTAAACCCAAGAGGTGGAGGTTGCAGTTAGCTGAGATCACACCACTGCATTCTAGCCTGGGCAACAGACCAAGACTTCATCTCAAAAAAAAAAAAAAAAAAAAAGCAATAGTAACAATGTATTCAATTATGTATGGTATGTATTCTTACATATAAGTGAAATGAATATCAGCAATGTTATTAGGAATATACTCCTCCTGAAGGGAGGAAGAAATATTATTTAATTATTAAAAATTACTACCTGTGAAGCAGAAGTGTTATTTGAAACTGGGCTTGGATTAACTGTAAATGTATAATGCAACCTCTAGGTCAACCACAAAAAAACAACACCAACAACAAAAATAACTAATATGCTAACAAAGGAGAGAAAAATGGAATAATACGAAATGCTCAATTAAAACCACAGAAGGGCTGGGCACAGTGGCCCATGTCTGCAATCCCAGCACTTTGGAAGGCCAAAGTGGGAGGGTTACTTCAGCCCAGAAGTTCAAGAGCAGCCTGGGCAACATGGTAAGACACTGTCTCAACAAAAAATTTAAAAATTAGCTTAGTGTGGTGGCATGCACTTGTAAGTCCCTGTTACTTGGGAGGATCACTTGAGCCCAGGAGGTCAAGGCTGCAGTGAGCCATGATTGCACCACTGCACTCCAGCCTGGGCAACAAAGCGAGACTCTATCTTCACACAAAAAAAGGAAATAAATGGAGAAAGATATACCATATAAATTAGGCATAAAGATCTTCCTCAACACTTGGCTCACACCTGTAATCTCCTGAAACTAAGTGATTATACCAGGGTTGCAGGATACAAAGTTAATATACAAAAGTCAATCCCTTTCCTGTACACAGGCGTAAGCTGAATTTGAAATAAAAAACACAATACCCTTTACAGTAGCACCCACAAAAATGAAATACTTAGGTATAAGTCTAATAAAATATCTGATGATACTAAATAAAATCTATATAAGAAAAACTACCAAACACTGCTGAATGACAACTAAGAACTAGATAGTGAGATATGACAAGTTCACAGACAGAAAGACTCAATATTCAAGACTTCAGCTCTTCCCAACTTGATCTACAGATTCAATGCAATATCAATTAGAATCCCAGCAAATTTTGTAGATGTTGATGAAGTGATTACAAAGTTTAGACAGACAAAAGACTTAGATTAGCTAACAGGATACTGAAGCAGAAGGATAAAGTTGGGGGAATTAACCTGACTTCAAGACTTATTGGCTGGGCATGGCGGTTCATGCTTGTAATCCCAACAATGCTTTCGGAGGTCAAGCAGGGAGAAGTGCTTGAGGCCAAGAGATGGAGACCAGTCAGGGCAACATAGTGAGACTCTGTCTGTACAAAAAAATTTTTTTAATTAGCCAGATGTAGTGGCACGTGTCTGTAATCCCAGCTACTCAGGAGGTTGAGGTGGGAGGATCCCTTGAGGCCAGGACTTTGAGGCTGCAGCGAGCTGCGACTGTTACACTGCACTCCAACCTGGGTAACAGAATGAGACTCTGCCTTGAAAAAAAAAAAAAAAACCAAAAGACATTATAGAGACCAGCCTGGGCAACATGGCAAAACCCCATTGCTACAAAATATACAAAAATTAGCTAGACAGGGTGGCATGTGGCTGTGATCCCAGCTACTCGGGTGGCTGAGATTGGAGAATCGCTTGAACCGGGAGGCGGAGGTTGCAGTGAGCCGAGATGGTGCTAGTGCACTCCATCTCAGCCTGGGTGACAGAGCAAGACTCCGTCTCAAAAAAAAAAAAAAAAAGAATTCTTATAAAGCTACAAAAATCAAGACAGTGTGGCAGTGTTGTATTTGTGAAAGAACAAATAGATCAATGGCACTAAACAGAGAGCCCAGAAATAGACCCATATAAATATAGTCAACTGATCTCTGACAAAGGAACAAACTCAAAGGGGAAAAAATCCACTTCTAACTTTCTCTCGTTTCTTTAGCACAACAGCCTTTCTTCACCGGCTGTCCTTTCCTTTCATTAACCTGAGTACTCACCTGGGTCCTCTTAAGGGTTCTAGCTGGTCACACTCTGAGCTTCCACGAATATAATAAGGTATCTTTATATATTTCCAGTTTAGACCTCCCATGTGAGTCACAGGCTAAAATACAAGCACTGGATATTCAACACCTGCCAAAGTCTTTCCCAGGTTCCTCTTCTAACAGCATTGCTAGTCTCCGGGGCAACGTCGTCACCACCACTCACCGAGTGCAAGAGACTGCTCAATCAAATCACTTGTAAATTACATCTCCCCTACGGTTCACTCCATCAATCATTCATAAAGTCCAGATGATCCACTGGCCCGCCCCTTACCTCTTGGACCCTGGAGCTTCGTTCCTAGCCTCTTCTCCCTACTCATTCACATATAATTGTGTCCGTGGTTCACTAGACTATCCTTCCCATCAAACCAAGGCTCCTCTAAAATTAGGAACATACATAATTTTTTTTTTTTTGAGACGGAATCTCGCACTGTCGCCCAGGCGGGAGTGCAAAGGCGCGATCCCGGCTCACTGCAACCTCCGCCTCCCGAGTTCACGCAATTCTCCTGCCTCAGCCTACCGAGTAGCTTGGATTACAGGTGCACATCACCACACCCGGCTAACTTTTTGTGTTTTTAGCAGAGACGGGTTTCACTATGTTGGCGAGACTGGTCTCGAACTCCTGACCTCGTGATCCGCCCACCTCGGCCTCCCGAAGTGCTGGGATTACTGGTGTGAGCCACCGCATCCGGCCAGAACATACATAATTTATCTCTCCATTGCCAGCACCAGCCCTGGAGTCCAGCACACAAAACACTCCATAAACAAGCATTTGGCCAAACGAAAAAGGAGGAAGATAATTTTTCCAACGAAGTTCTAAGGGTCTGCATAAGACAACTTTATGTAGAAAACATGAAATGATGGCGGCTCCTCAGACTTCAGGGCCCGCAGCTGGCAGCGAAGTACAGTGTAACTTGCCCGTCACAGAATACCACGAGGCACGTTTCTGGAGGACCACAGCTTGGGTGAGGGGGTGAGCTCAGTTCCCGGAGGAACCCTGAAGAAATGAACGTGGCCACCCTTGGTGTCCAGTCGCCTTCAAACACTGAAAGTCTCTACTTACCCACCACGGAGCTACCCGGAAACTGGTGGCCATCCCCACGCCCACGTCCGTGCGCTGCAAGAGACCTCGAGGGATGCGTCCGCCCGCAGACAGCTGCGGACCCCGGGCCCCCGACACCTGACCGTCCAGGGGCCGAGTCGCTCGCAGGGACGCCGGCTCCTCAGCTCTCGCCCAACACGCACGGCGCGTGGCCAGACGGCCTCCGGGTTTGGGTACCAGGAGTCGCGCCGATGGATTTGCGCCGCGGCGCGGCCCTGATTCAGAAGAGCAGGAGTCTGTCCTGGCTCCGTCCACGCCCCCGATCGACGGTGGTGTTGAGCTGGTCAAGTCCCGGGTCTGCCCACGTTAATCCAAGCCGCTTAGCTCCGCGCCTCGGCGGCCACAGACACACGCAGTTACACCTGCTGGCCAGACTCCGGTCCACTGAGTCTGAGCCGGAAGCAGCCCTGCACTGGCGCACGCGACTAAGGCCGGGAGTGCGGCGCATGCGGAAGTGCGTCATACCTCGAGGAGCCAGGACGCGACGGCGCCGGAAAAACTACGTCTCCCACAATCCTCTGAGAAGGCGTCCCTGTTCAGCAGCTGGCTTGCCGTTACCGCGGATCTAGAGTGGGCACAGCCTGACGAGAACCGAGGGCTGGGAGGGGGCTCTGCCAGCGGCACCGGGTCCACCCTCCCCCGGCTGCACCAGGTTCAGTACCACCCGCAGAGCTCGGACTCCCAGTTTCCCAGGCCCTGTAGAACTGACTCAGAGCCCGACGCCAGCAGAGACGCAGGTGTGCTGAGGTCTTGATATCAAACGAGGTGGGTTCAGACCAGAAGGCACAGCAAAAAAGGACGCTTTGTAAAGCTAACAGCTGCAATTCATAAGGTTTTGTAACAGTTTTGAACATCAGTTCTCCAACTTCATAAAGGAGAAACTATAGATGTTAAAGGTAGATAAATAGAACCACACCAATAATGAAACTGCCTTTGCGAAAAAGTCTATCCGTGAGAAAATTACAGCAAAGGGGGAGGTCTTAATCCAACCAAACCCCCGACCGCGCGCGCCTTTGGTTTTCAAGTTGCCTTAGTTACTCCTGGGCTTAGGCCAAGCTAACTTTGGAAGACATTTAGATTATAGTTTAAATGATAGCCCTTTTCCAAAACTCAACTGTCTTTGTAAAACCTATGAGAGACCACCAGGCTCGAGGGAGGAGAGGAGCCTGAACTCTGCTAAGGTGTAGATTGGTCACAAGATATACAACCTCCCCAATTAGTCCCACAAATAATACCGCTATTGTAGATTGGCCTTTTGAGATTTAAAAAATGTGCAAAATGGCCAGGCATGGTGGCTCACGTCTATACCAGCACTTTGGAAGGCTGATGTGGGTGGATCGCTTGAGTCCAGGAGCTGGAGACCAGCCTGGGCAACATGGCAAAACCTCGTCTCTACAAAACATATCAAAATTAGCCGCATACGTGGCCTGCATGTGTAGTTTCAGCTTCTTGGGAGGCTAAGGCAGCAGAATTGCTTGAGCCCGTGTGGCGGCGGTTGCAGTGAACCGAGATTGCACCATTGCACTCCAGCCTGGATGACAAGAGTGAAACCCTGTCTCAAAAAAAAAAGAAAGAAAGAAAAAAGTGCCAAACATCTGAATGGACATTTCTCAAAAGAAGACATACAAATGGCAAACAGGTATATGAAAAGGCACTGAACACCATTGATCATCAGAGAAATGCAAATCAAAACTGCAGTGCGATTTCTTACTCCAGTAAAAGGACTTTTATCCAAACGACAAGCAATAATAAATGCTGGTGAGGGTATGGAGAAAAGGGAACCCCTGTACACTCTCGGTGGGATTGTACATTAGTGCCACAATTATGGAGAACAGTTTAGAGGTCCTCAAAAAAATAAAAAATAGAGCCAGGCTCAGTGGCTTACACCTGTAATCCCAGCACTTTGGGAGGCCGAGTTGGGTGGATCATGAAGTCAGGAGTTAGAGACCAGCCTGGCAGTATGGTGAAACCCCGTCTCTACTAAAAATACAAATATTAGCTGGGCATGGTGGCACGCACCTGTAGTCGTACCGTCTCAGGAGGCTGAGGCAGGAGAACTGCTTGAACCCGGGAGGCAGAGGTAATGGTGGGCCGTGATCATGACACTGCACTCCAGCCTGGGCAACAGAGTGAGACTCTTTTTAAAAAAAAAAATAAAAAATAAATAAAAATAGAGCTACCATATAATCTAGAAATCCCACTCCTAGGTATATACCCAAAAGAAAGAAAATCAGTATGTCAAAGAGCTATCTGCACCCCCATGTTTATTGCAGCACTATTCACGATAGCCAAGATTTGGAAGTAAACCAAAGTGTCAATCAACAGATTAACAAATAAAGAAAATGTGGTACATATACACAATGGAGTATCACTATATTAAGTGAGATAAGGGAGATCACTATATTAAGTGAGATAAGGGAGGCACAGAAAGACAAACTTCATATATTCTCACTTATTTGTGGGCACCAAAAATTAAAACAATTGGGCCGGGCGCGGTGGCTCACGCCTGTAATCCCAGCACTTTGGGAGGCCGAGGCGGGTGGATCATGAGGTCAAGAGATCGAAACCATCCTGGTCAACATGGTGAAACCCCGTCTCTACTAAAAATACAAAAATTAGCTGGGCATGGTGGCGCGTGCCTGTAGTCCCAGCTACTCGGAAGGCTGAGGCAGGAGAATTGCTTGAACCCAGGAGACGAGGTTGCGGTGAGCCGAAATCGCACCTTTGCACTCCAGCCTGGGTAACAAGAGGGAAACTCCGTCTCAAAAAATTAAAACAATTGAACTCATGGTGATAGAAAGTAGAAAGATGGTTACCAGAAGCTGGGAAGGGTAGTGGGAGACTGAGGGGATGGGAATGGTTAATGGGTAGAAATACAGAAAGAATAAGACCTAGACCTAGTATTTTCTAGCACAACAGGACATAGTCAAAAATAATTTAATTATACATTTAAAAATAAAAGTATAATTGGATTGCTTGTAGCACAAAGGATAGCTGCTTGAGGATACCCCATTTTCCCTGATGTCATTTTTATGCATTGCATAATAATCATTTATAGAAAGTAAAAAGTTCCTCTTCAAAGTTTCCCTTCTTGTTAAAGAATAATAATCAATGTTAGAAATAATAGTTTCTTTTAAAGTCTTTCTTCAAAGCCTTCTTGCTTTTTGCTAGTAACTCTTCATTAAGTCCTATCCTATGTAGCTGTTAAATATAAGGGAATAAGTATATTCTATATCCTTGTACCTTAACCAAGATATTTGTGCTGGGCATGCTCACAGGCATGTAGTACATTCTATGACCTTGTGCTTTAACAAAGATATTTGTGCTGGACATGTTTACAGGCACATCCCAACTCGAAGCCTATGCCCCTTCCTTATTTGAAAATGTTACTTTTCTAAGTCCTTTCACAAGCAACTTCCTCTTTTCCTTTTGTTCTCTATCACCTTTACCTATTCAGGAAAGTTTTTTTTTTTTTTTTTTTTTTTGAGACGGAGTTTCACTCATGTTACCCAGGCTGGAGTGCAATGGCGCCATCTCGGCTCACCGCAACCTCCGCCTCCCGGGTTCAGGCAATTCTCCTGCCTCAGCCTCCTGAGTAGCTGGGATTACAGGCACACACCACCATGCCCAGCTAATTTTTTGTATTTTTAGTAGAGACGGGGTTTCACCATGTTGACCAGGATGGTCTCGATCTCTTGACCTCGTGATCCACCCGCCTCGGCCTCCCAAAGTGCTGGGATTACAGGCTTGAGCCACCACACCCGGCCAGGAAAGTTTTAAGTTATCAACCAATCAGGTTTAGCTTAGACTGTGAGGTCCAGCTCCAACCACTGGAAATAGGACACAGCAGTGAGGACCCGATGCATAAAGGATAAATATTTCTGCCTTTCCTTTGTTCAGTGTGCTTTCATGGCAAGATGCTGATGGATAGCATCCTTTCTACAGAAAGTAAAATTGCCTTGCTGAGAGATTCTTTGTTCCAGTGCTGATTTTTCTTTGCAGCACCAAGCATCTGTTTCCAACATTGCATTATAATATGCATTTCAGGCCGGGCGCGGTGGCTCAAGCCTGTAATCCCAGCACTGTGGGAGGCCGAGGCGGGTGGATCACGAGGTCAAGAGATCGAGACCATCCTGGTCAACATGGTGAAACCCCGT